ATTTGTGTTGTCCCCTTCTTTTTCATTTATACCTATCAATCTTATGTTGTTTTTCTTTGCCTCATCTTGATCTGTTGAACTGTTATTTCCTGATTCTTTGTTTTTTTTTTTTTAAAGATCTTTCCTTTCCTGTTCACTAGCTGCTATCTTGTTTTCAAGGTCTGAAAGTCTATCTTCACTTTTATTGAGGAAATTTTCTCAACTTTCAATGCAATATTTGATTTCCTGTATATCTCTCTGAATCTGTTTCATGCATTCTGTTTGTTTCTTAGATTGTTCATTTAATGTTTCTGTATTTTTACATTGTTTCTCTAACTTTTTCCATTGTCTTCTTTAGATGTATTCAGCACTTCTTTCATTATATCATTGCTTCTTTCACCTGGGACATTATTTCTAAGCTGAGTTCTTTTATAGCTTCACAGAGTTGTTTCCTTACTTCAGTTGCTATCATTTTAGCAGTTTCAGGTGTATGGCTTACATTTTGTTCTATGTCCATGTCTCCTTGGCTTGCTTGGGATGGGCTGGAGGTTTGAGATTGTATTTTGCTCTTTTGTCTTATCATTTTGCTATATTCCCTTAAGGAAGCCGAATGCAAAGTCTCAGTTGTTTCTTGGGTTGAGACTATTTGTTCCTATTGCAAGGAGTTTCCCTAGTTGAGTGGAGGTCTTTAGACAGACCTTATCAGATGGTTCCAGCTCCTTGGTTTTGCCAGACAGGGCCTTACCAGTCTAGGAGTGAAGTACCAAGGCTTTCCCATGTGCTGGAGAGTACTGTGCCCACTTTCAGGTTGCCAGGCCAAAGATCAGCAGCTGTGGTCAGCTGGGAGTCACTGGGTGGGGCCCAGATAGGCCCAGAGAGATGTCTGGGTATGTCCACCAGTGATGTGGGAGGTGGGGCAGGGTCTTACTAGCCTTACCAGAAATGCTAAAGCATTTTACTGGACTGGCTAGGGCTGCCAGGCAGAATGCGGGCAGCTCAGCAATCACTGGGTAGAGCCTGGATAGGCCCAGAGGGACACCTTAGTGCATCCTCCAGTGTGTGAGAGGCAGGGCGGGGGTCTTACCAGTCTCCCAGTGAAGTGCCAAAGCTTCCATAGGCTGGATAGCACTGCACACACTTTTGGTGTGCCAGGTGGAATCCTAAATTTCTATTATAGATTTTACTAATGGAAAAGACTTCTTCAGATATTGCCGAATGTGATTGAGAGTTCTCAAATTTATGTAATTAAGAAAACAAAAATATGTTTCTTCCAATGTGCTTTTTAAAATTCTACAAGTCTCAATATGGAGAGACAAAATAAAATATTGTATCTGCTTTTCTTTTCTCTGCTTTTATTGGATATTACATTTCCTTGGCAGTCTCATATCTGCACTTGGCTATCATTCCTGAAATTTCATAACTATAAAATCTGAATATCCAACTTGCTTATCACTCTGCAAGATTGTTTTTAACATTTCCCCCCCTTAATTTTACCCATGTCTATTTTAACCTTTCTAAACTGGAAGCAATGTCTTTATTCTACTATGCAGTTTTCTTTGGGCTCATACCTTTTGGGACACTAAGGAATTCTGTAGGCTTCTTGTCATACTTTTGTGTTCCCTTTAGTATTAGTGTTTACTATGTTCAGAGATCTCTGATTATCTAAAAATGAATTGCATGGAAAGTAAGAATTTACTGTATCTCTTTTATAAATCTCTCAGAACCCTATTGAGACACATATTACTAAGAACTGTTTTAGGTGTTTTGAGGACCTTGTTTAACCTTAGATCATTGTTATGCTCTTCTTAATGCAGAAAGTCATATAGGAGTAGCCAAAAGCATTTATTGTAGTATGTGATAATTTTTAAATTCATGGATGGGCGTATCTTGGGAAGAGTGATTTTTCTTTCCTTTTTGCATTTTTCCTCATTCTCTATATATTTGGTACCAAGTGTAAATTTTAAGCTTTAATCAGTATGTATCATATATCTTATGCGAAGTCATAGCCTTCCATATCTTTGAAGAAAAAGGAAATAACATGTAGTATTTAATGTCAAGGTACAATATTTTTTCATCACTGCTGTAATGAATGTAATGTCATGCATCCATTCATTTAATAAATGCACACTGATTTTCCATATGTGTTAGTCTGTACTGTAGGTGTGGAGATGTAAAAATGTGTAAGACGTTGTTCCTGTTTTTAATAATCTCCTTGTGGGGGAGACTGACATGCACGCATAAATACAATACAATTGAATGTATCAAAAATGGAGGGGACCAGTTTTTTTTTTTTTGAATCATGAATTTCTGTCCACATATTTTTTGGTTGAAAAGTTCTAGAATGTTCTTCACTCACAATTCATGTAGAAATTGCCCTGAGCAACCTCTAACTTGAGAAAAGTGATTTATGACTTTGTAAACCTATTATTTCAAGGCTCTATGAAAATTAAGAAGATATGAGGTTTGGGCATTAAGCAAACCCATGGCAGTGGGTTCTTGTTAGACACTAGATGCACTTATTCCTGTTCATGCCTGTGGCCATCACACTTACTGGTCTCATGTTGACACTGGCTGATGTTCTGGGCCTATGGCCCTTAGGAAACCCCAGTTTGGTTAGCTTTATTTTTTTGGGTCAGACATGATCATAAACGCCATGATCTGTCATTTAAGAGGCTGTTATGGTAGCTGGAAATGCCTGCTCTGTCTATTACAAAATCTGTAACTCTTATTCTCCATTTATTGAGGTCATCACTTTCGCTAGCACCTGCAGTCTTGTTGTCATGTACTGGATCCCACTCTGAGCAAGAGTTTCTCACTGAGAGTATTCTAGAAGTGGGCTGAGATATTAGGCAGATGCAGAGCCATGGTTGCATTAACTGGGTGTCAGCAATCAATCAAAGCCCAAGCTTGTGCTAAGTTATTTTGGTGGAACTTTTCAAAATGGAGCCATCTCCATGTATGAGAGAACAACTGTTTCTAGGAGTCCCTTTATCTAAAAGGCTGGGTTTTGACTGAACCCATTCCTTTCACTTTGCTGAGTGATAAGAAAAGATCAAATTTGCTATGATTTTAAATCATATGAAGAAGATTCCTTCAGAAAACTCTCCACTCCCTTTGAATACTTCTGATTGCCTGTCTCTCTTTTTTAAAAGCCCAGTACCAAGTAGGAATGAGAGAGGAATATAATCTTCAATGAATCGTTTGACCCCATATGAACATTTAGGTTTCAGAGAAAACTTAAATTTGACCATTACATTTGGTCAGTTGAGATATGCTTTAACTCATCTGATGTTATTTTTTCCCTTTCTGTAGGGATTATAAGTCTAAAGCATTTGAAAAAGTTAGAATTCTCATATTCAGACTACACCATTGTCATTCACATCATATGTTCACTAAAGTTGTAGGGGAAAAACAGGAAATTTTAACATACAAGCAAACATTCAAAATTACACTGAGAATCAGCTTTTGTGTGATTTGAAGGAATTCTTTGATTATTAAACCTCTCCATCTCTCATGGATGTTTCCCAATTATATTTAATTGTTATCGTATACTAATACATCCTGTTTCTCGCACCAGAACTTCTTTTTCCTAATCACTAGAATCTATAATTTGGGAAACCATCTGCATTTTCAGCAGGATTGATCTCAACCCAGGATCCATCCCAGAAGTAATGTATGCAATAGAGCCACAAGAAATGACTGATATAAGTAAGTTTGACCTATGAAAATGGTAAGTTGGCATTTCCTGAACTCTGATCTAATCTGTCCAGAGTTTTGCTCCAGATGCATCTTAAAACAACTCAGTGTGGCTACGGGGTGATCAGAGCCTCTTGAAGTATACATTTGTTGAGCTATCCCCAATAGCATGAGCAGTGAACACATTATTGATTGAAGCCTAACAAGTGGATCCACACATCCATAAACAGAGGTAAAAATTTTAATTCACTTAGAAATAAGGAGCAACAGAAACATTTTTTCAACTGCCTTATATATAATTTGAAAGACAGATTTTTTTCACAAATAAGCTAGTGGCTAACCTATTTGTATAGATCTATGCTTGTTCCTTTTATTCATTCTGTGCTCTCCTATCCACTTCCTTAGCTGTATAATGACTAGTCAAAAATTTCATAGTGGTGCATCAGACAGAACCTATTATCTTAGGGCCTGTCTACCATCTGTCTATTCTTACTATTTGGTAGTAAGCATAAAAAGAGAGCATGGTAATTCTTTGGTAACTTAACATAAGTAACTGCTGTACCATTTGTAGTTCAACAAGTCACTTGTCCATCGCAATTTAAGAAAAAAATTAGGGTGCTGCATATTTTCTGTTTCTATTTATTGCATTCATTCTTTTCTGCATAATAATCAAGCAGGTTGATACTTTTTAAATTTTATTTTATTTTACTTTTTTGTTAATGACAATGTCTGGCAATATGCAGCTGGCCATTTAACTATTGACTGAAGACAAAACCCTACATTCCACTCTTGCCTATAAATCAATAAAGGGCAGTTCACATTATTCAGAAGGTGCCTGAGATTTTTCTGTCGGCTTTTCAGGTAAGAGAAACCCCATGACAAGGGACAAGACTAGATTTGGGGCCATAAATTCTCCCTTTGGGGCCTGTTCCTTCTATTAGCCGAGGAAATGTTAGCCAAGCCACAGAACTATCTTTGGTATCAGTTTTTAGACTGGTTTGGGGGATTAAATGAGAGAAGAACCTTTTGAATGCCTCCTGCTGCTGTACTTTAATTCTGAGTCTTCGTTCCCATCAGATAAGCACTCCTATGGCCTTGTGTATGGATGAGGTAACTGGGACACCCAGAATGGAGTAACTTACACAAAATCACACGAAGGGAAGAAGAAGCAGGATCTGAATCCTGCAGGCTCCACTTTCAAGTCAGGAACTTTGTTGCTAAGTTTGTGTAACTGTATAATTTACACTGCAGAGGATGAAATAAATATCAACTCCAAATGCAGACACCAGCTTAAATGCTATCACTGAGAAACTGAATAGAGAAAATCACCTCATACTTCTTTTTATCTTCTTCTTTCTTGACCACAGACCTGACTTTCTTGGCTCTTTTTCTCAAGTGTCATTTGAAAACATAAGGTCTTTCCAAAAGTAAGGCCAGGTCTTACTGTGAACCTCTCTTAGAGCTGTGACCATTTAGATGATATCTGCTTTCAACGCTGCCTATCCTCATTTGATGCACAGCTTTCATGGAAAGCAGCACTGGGCAGTCTAGCCGTTGCCCTCTTTCTGAGCCATGTTTTCTTGGAAATGGCCTCTGCTTCTGTTATGATTTATAACTAGATGTGCCCCAAAGTTTCATGTAGAATAAGTGGAGATCTGAGGAAGCAATTAGATCAAAAGTGTGATACTCATCAGGGGATTAGCACACTGATGAGCTTATAAATAACTATGATGTTAGGAGGTGAAGGCTGGCTGGAGGAGGCAGAGCCCAAAGGCACGGCCTGGAAGAGTGCATCACCCTCCTTCTCTGGTGGTCTCTCTCTGCTTCCTATTGCCTAGCCTCTGCCAGGCCCCCCCACCATGCCAGCCAACTATGGACTGAAGCCTCTACAAAATGTGAGCCAAAATAAATCTTTCTTTAAATTGTGAGTGCCAGGTATTGTGTCCTAGTGTTGAGAAAGTAAGACAGACTTATTCTCTCCAACCCTGAGAGTTTGCCAGTTTGAACTTTTACTTACACTGTCTTAGGTATTGCATGCATAGTTCCAAAGTGCAATACTAAAATATTGTGGTGAGAAAAGCTTTGTGTTGCTCCTCTTAGGCAACTCACATAAAGTTGTGAGAAACCCTTTGGAAACAGTGAGAATGTAAACACAAAGGTAACTTCTTTGACTCTCAATTTACTTATCTTTAAAATGGGATAATAATAACGTGGATTATACATACTGTGAACTTTTTAGGCAGGAGGCAGGCACTGAACTATGCTCATAGATTATCTGTTTTTTCATCACAACATTGTCTCCCATAAATACAATAAATTATTTAGGTTAAAAATCCAAATCTTTGAAAGGATATTAGCTGAGATCTCACAGCCAGTAAATGTTGTAGCTAGATTGGATCTGTTTGACTACAATGCTTCTTTTCCTATCTTTTACTGAATATCAATTACTCTCTTTATGCTATATGCCCTAGTAGTGTTGTAAGATTCTTATCTAATTTAAATGACACATGTACCTTGCATATAACTGAGTACAGTTTCTTAAGAAATATTGGATCATTTTTGCTCTGCCCCTTTCCCAAATATTTCCAGTGATGGGAAAAGTCAGTGCTGGCAGGCAAGATAGGGCAGCTATTTTGAGCTGGGTGAGTGGGGTTGCAAAAGAGAACTGGGAGCTATTCTGTATCTCAAATCAAACCAGGCTGGCAGCTTTCAACTTTGTCTATAGATAGGCCTGGCTGGCTTTGGTGGTAATGTCTTTATTTAGAATCTCATGTCCCTTTTTGAACCTTGTAACTTGAGAAAGAGTGAACAACTCAGGGAAAAATGAAAAAAGATTAATAGATTAAATCTATTTGCAAAACAATTCCTATAGGAATTGAGACCTTTTCACCTGGTAAAAAGAAGATGGGGTATAATTCTCTGACTATGTCAAAGATTATATTATCAACAGTGGTGACATACTTTTCTGTGAAGGGGAAACTTGGACAAGTTGATATCCAAATCCTTTCAAAATCTAAAATTTACCACGTCTATGAAAATGAGGACTGGAAGAGTTAGGTTTAGAATAGAAATTTTGGAGCAATAAAAACTTAATGATAATGAAAGTTAATATTTGGATTTTCATTCTTCGGGTACTTTGAAAATATTACAGATCTTTCCTTCCTCGTGTGATTGTATTCATTCTATTCAGGTAGGAGGCAGTCATCTCTATCAAGTGTCCTAAAACGGAGATTTTTGAAACTTTCACTGATGTAAAAAGATCTTTGATTTGTTTTTTATGGTAAGCCATAAATTTCCCTTTAAAAATATGAATACGTAGTTTATATTCAGTGACTAATAGTCATACCATAAACCACTTGCAGTCATTTACACCATGGCATGGTTTAGTTTAACTGGTCAGCTGAATAAGCATAAATTTTAGTTGAATTTTAGCGAGAAAGAAATAAAATATTATTCCAAGAATATTATTTATATAAGATTAAAAAGCATTAGTATAATGCAGCAAACGTAGACAGTAAATGTTATCATGACGGCAGTGTTAACCACATTTAGGAGAAAAGAGAAAAGAAACTCAGTGGAATATGGGAGGATATAAAATGGTAAAGATGTTTTCTTTTAGTTTATCAGAGTTTTACAGCTATGGATCAAGTACTGAAACAATGCTAGAAGACGTGACTTCACTGTTGATGACTGTATTGATTAGTGTAGCATGCAGCACTAGATGCAGTAACAAAGACACATATACATAATTTATGATTTCATACAAACATGCACACAAAGACACACACACAGTTGTCCATGATATCCCCAAGGAATTTTTGTTTCATTTTTACTATTATCCGTGCATTCTCAAGTTCCTTGTGTACCCTGGTTTATTTGCATATAACCCATGTATGTCCTCCCATTTCTTTAATCATTTCCTGATTATTTAAAATACCTACTGCAATGGAAACACTGTGTAAAGTTGTTATACTATGTAGGCAAGGAAAATGATGACTGTGAGGGAGACTTTGCCTGTTCAGTACAGACACCATATTTAAGACTAGTTTTGTCTGCCATTGGTTGATCCTATGGCTGTGAAGCCCATGGATGCAGAGGACTGACTCTGTACCATAATTACTCAAATGCAAGAGAAATGTATTTTGCTCTCTTACAAAAGTTTCAGGTAGATTAGATTCCCCCAGTCAGTGAGTAAGCTCTTCCAGTAAGCTCTCCTGATGTCCTTGAGGGATAAGAGCCATGTCAATCTTGCGGCATTGTTGTCTACTGGGGCTTCACTGTTAGTGCTGACTTAGTGGAAGCAAGAAGATAAGCACAGAAGAAGCTGATGGTGTTCTTGAAAGTAACTCATCTGTTTGGGCATTGGGACAACTAATTACATGGCCACAGCTAGTTATAAGGAAGCCTGTAAAGTTACCCTGTTACCCTACTCTCTTAATCAATAGCAACTGAAAAGAGTTTTGGTTAACTGCTAGTATTCTTTGCTGCACAAACTTGGAAATGATTTGATGAGAAGAGGACTAATAGGAAGCTTGACTGTTTAAGCATATCAGTTTTGCATGCATGAAACCTCTATACCCCTGAGCAAGAGCCTACTAAGATTCAACTCTCAGCAGGTTTAAAAATTACTTCTTACCCACTATCCTTTACCTTTCCTCCTCTCACTGCTTGACCTGCTTCCCTATGGATTGTGACTGCTCTCTGTCCTACATATCCTCTAGGCCAAGGCCAGCAAACCATGGGCCAAACCCAGCCTGTTGTCTATTTCCACATGACCCACAGTGTAGGCTTCTGTTCTTTGCTTTTCCAAATAGTTAAAAAAATCAAAGAAATAACCTTTCAAAATATGTACAAAATTACATAAAACCTTGAATTTTTGTGACTGCAAATAGAGTTTTTTAAAAGACAGCTTGCTTCTGCCTACAATCAAAGAGTTAATCAGTTGCAATGGAGATACTTTGACCCAGAAAGTAAAAATACTGTCTTGTCATTTGCAGGGTGACTGGTCTAGGTCATGGGACAGTGGAAAGCCTCTATTGCAGGACCGAGGTATGAAAAACAACCTATAAGCAGGCTATAGATACAGAAGAGGCCACAAGAAAGGGTAAAGTGAGACCAGCCTCCTCATCTCCAGCATGAGTGTCCATGAGAAAGAGGAGGAGACGATCAAATGCTGAGGAAGAGACTTGCACTTATGTTCAAGCCTAGAAAGGAACAGAAATCAAGAAACAGAGGCAATAAAAGGGCTCCCAGAAGCAATTGAGAGATAGGGCCCAGAGTCTGACACTGTTCCTAGTATTTCCTTTGTGTTTCTATTGCTCTTTTAAAACTTACATTCATTTGTACATTCAGTATCTCTAGACTGTATTCTTTTACCTCCTATAATACCTAAAGCAGTGTCTTTCACTAACTAGGTATTCAGGCAACTTTGATTGATTGACTGAGTGACGAATAAATGAATGGAGTTTCTATTTAATTGTATGATACCTTTTGTATATTTTGAAAAATTGACTGATTTGATCATGTGCAACTCTATGGACACATGCCTTCACAAGAAGAAACTGACGTGGATTTCACTTTCCATTTTCCCTCTAGGTGGTACCTTTTGGTGGAGAAGAACTATATTAAGTGTGAAGTAACCTTGAAGGGAAGAATGTGGTCATCTTTACTGTGCAAGACATTGTGCATATAGGCAACATGGCGAATGTGTTGGTTAATTTTATGTGTCAACATAACTGGGCTAAAGGATATCAAGGTAGCCAGTAAAACATCATTTTTGAGTGTCTCTGTGAGGGTATTTCTAGAAGGCATTGGTTCTGAACCTGTTGACTAGGAAAGAAGATCTACTTCCAATCCTCAGAGTCCCTGGTTAGAACAAAAGGCAGAAAATGAGTAAATTTGGTCTCTGCTTGAGTTGGGACATCCACCTTCTGATCATGGAGACTGGCACATCTTTTGCTCAGAATTTCATGTTTGGGCTGGACTGTACCACCAGCATTTTGATTCTTCTGGCCTGCAGATAGCAGATTATGGAACTCCCTATCCTCCATAATGGTATGACCAAGCTCTTGTAATGAATTCATCCCTTCAGGGGTATATGTATATGTACATGAGTATAGATAGAGCTATATTTATATCCTATTTATTGTGGTTTTTACTGGAGAATTCTGATAAATATAGCAAGATTCTTGCTTGTACTCACTTCACATGGGAACTACTTGGTCTCCTAAATTTGCCTGAAGTAGAGCGACGCAGAGTCACTGCCAAGTCTTTTACCTGCAGCAAGTCCGTTGGTCGGTACCCATATACCTCTTCAAGTACTCAAATGCTGATCAATTTTCACCTAACAGATGACCAGATGTTGGTTCAGAAAGAAAGGCTATATGCCATAAAAAGTACTTCATGGCCAGATATTGGAATAGTGTTGAAACTGGAGCCTATATAAATACTTTGGTGCTATTCCATTTGGACACATGCCACAAAAAATAACCTAGAGTAGTTTTGAAAAAGTGTCAATAAATCAACTGTTTAGCTCGACTCTGCAATGTATCCATTTATTTCTTTTATAAGCTTAAGTGCTCTTCAAAGCTGTACAGTATTAAAGATCTAGTTTGAAATTTGCCCTCAGATCAGCATAAAGAATGACCAAAAAACTGGTTCAGAAGAAAAATTAGATCAAAGGACTCAACTTCTGCTGGATGAAAATAACTGAAATCTCAATTGTTTCTGTTCAGTGTCCCTAGCCTAACTGGGTTTCCACTTAAAAGGCTTATGCAATTCTGTCCAGTATACCATTTCTTCCCAAGAACCCCCTAGGCATTCCACCATATTTTACTGTATCCCTTATCTTTTCCTTTCCTTATAAGCTGCCTTCATCTATACTGTTATTCTAACTGGGTAGTTAGTACCCTTCTTGTTGTATTATTAAACCATGTAAGAATGATGTCAAAATAAATGTGCTGCTAATTGGTTTATGGAAGCCTTATAGCAAAAAGTGAGAAAAAGTGATGTAGAAGAATTCTGGCATACATCAGCTGAAATAAACTTTTTCGTCAAAGTCTTCAATATACTAATGATAGCTGACAGTCTTTAACATGTGGTACACATGTAGTATACAATATCAGGCAAATGGATTTGATTTAGAGCTTTTTTGGTTTAAAGGATAAAGTCCTAGAATGCCCTATACCCAGATCTAGGACTAAAGGATCCTAGGGTACAATGCGTCAAGGATAAAACTTCAGTGTGGGACAGAATTGGCATAGGCTACTTATTCATAAATGTATCAAAAGAACTCAACTGACATCATTCATTCCAGCAAGTGTACAAATGGGCTAGAAGACTTATTTGTTGATTTTATGAACAAATAAAAAGAAATACAGATGGGTAAGCATTCAGGGAAGGTGGGGTTCCCTTGTGGTTAAGTATATTTAGCCCTCTTCAGTTGGCTATGTGGGAACCGGTGAGCAAGTGAGGATATTTCAAAACAGGAAGAGAGAATGGGGTCGATAGGATGTGCTGCCACCAAACTGTCATGATATGCCTTGTGGAAGGCAGCTGCTTGTCAAGCAGCTCCTCAAATGTGACAGCAGATCACACTGTTTAACACTGGGTCAGGGTGAAACAAAACATTTCCATGTGCCAGGCGCTACACTTCGTCCCTCACCTTAGCTTTCCTTAGAGCCTTTTGCTTTATTAAGGTTTGCCAGATGTTAAGGTGTCACTGTTCCATTTTATCCATGAAGAGAAATTAAATAGCTATAAAGGTTTATGGCAGAAAAGTCTGTAGTCCTGAATCTTCTCCCCGATCTTTTCCTCTCATTGAATCCTAGCAGATTCAGAAATGCAAAGATTTGACACTATTAGCTTCCCACAAGTAACAAAAGCACAAACAAATTTCAATGAAAGACTTTTTTTTTGAGACAGGGCTAACTGCCTCAAAAGCCTTCAGTGTTCTCCTGCCTGAGCTTCCCAAGTGCTGGAATTGTGTGCCACCATGCCAAGCCTAGAAAAATCAAATGTTGATCACACTGAAACATTGTTGAATCAAGAATTATTTGTAGCAAATGAAATATTAATCTAGTTTTTTCTATGTCAATTCTCTTTTAGAGAAAACATGTGTATTTTTTGATCCTATGATATTTGCTATTATAGAAATTGATCTAAATTATTGATAAATAGTACTTTGATAAATCTCAATAAATATCTTAAAGGGGTTAAGGTGGAAAGTAGAATATGAATACAAAAGTTACTTTTTTCTTTGCTTCACTTTCAAAGTTCTCAATAATTGAAATTAACCCAATATTCCACATCCCCTCTTTTCCATAATTCACCCACTCTTCAAAAAGTCATTTACCTCTACTTGATGTAAATCTGTTTCCATTTATATTTAGTTCTAACTCTTTCACCCTTTCCTTTGTGTCTATGTAAACTTTTACTGCCATTCAAAATTTAATTAGTACCTTAATGGAGATAATACAAAGAAATGAACCAAAGTGAATACTGAGCCTTTCATGAGGTGGATTTTTCCAATTTCATGTATACAGGTAGGTTGTATACACAGCAATGAATGGTCATCAATAATTGTGAATAATTTTCAGATTTGGGTCTGTTTGCCCCATCACCATTCTACCCTTTACTCTGTCACTAGTATATTAAAGAGCAATCTGCAAAGATATTTTCCACTTACATATTCTTAAACTAAATATTCTACATTGAAATACTAATAGACTGTGTCGTTTGGACTAGGGAGACATTTTAAAATATCGTTCTGACCCTTATTTCTTCTGCCAAATTATGGTAGCAATGACGAAACGGATGATGATGATAATGTTACTAAAGCAAAAACAAGCATTAATTACTTACAGTCTTCCACTGAGGCAAAAATGAAACAATGTATAATGATTACTAGTACACAGTAAGAGCTCAATCTAATTTTAATTTTACTATAATATGCGTGGATACATATTATTTAGTGCTTTCAAATTCTTATAACCAATTATTCCAACTTTCATAGCCTTAATCCCTCAACTTCTTTAACAATTAAAAATTATAAACTATCCCATTCTAAGTAGAAACAGAACTTGAGAAATAACCCAAGGACTTTGGGCCAAGGGTAAATATGATTTAAAAATATACTGGAGAGTTTATTGCAAAATCAGCTATATAATCCAATACATGTTTTAGAGGTTGCATGTAATTTAGGTGTTTAGGTGCACGCAAATGTAAAGGCATATATTTACAAACCGTGCATCTGCATTGATTTACTTCTGCATCTGTACTGAGTTTGTAAGTTGAAGCACAAGAATCTTTACCTTCATTGTCTCTTCTGAAGAAGGCCCGACAGAAATTTGCAGCAGGTTAACGATGGGGACAATTTGTCAGAGACAGTGTTGAAGATGATAATGTGTAGGATGTCATAGTGGATAATTTCCTCTGCTTTCAACAAAATGTATTGCATTTTATTGAAGAAAAAGCTCTGGAAACACTGACTCTTCTCTGACATTTGTGGGAAGTAAGGACCATGTGGAAGGGGTAACAGTTTTATTTTTTTTTCTATCTGAATGTTGTCTTTTATCTCTTTTCCTTGCCTTATCCTCTTAGGTAGCCTATTCAGTACTATGCTGAATAGAAGCAATTGGAGGAGACTTCATAGCTTTTTTCTCTACCTAAAAGGGTGATTGTTGAAAATTTTCTTTTTGTTAGTTATGAGTTATGCTAGCTGGAGCATTTATAGATGCACTTTTCTAATTAAGAAAGTTTTATTCCCTTCCCACTTTTCTAAGAATCTTTATTTTTAATGGAAGTTGAATTCTGTCAAATGCTTTTGGTCTCTCTATTGAAAAATCACATAGGTTTTTCCTTTTTAGTTTGTTAATATTGTGTATCGTATCAATTTAATTTTGAGGGTTAAACTAATCTTACACTCCTGGAACACACCCCACCTGGGTACGTGTCATGCTTTTTTTAAAATATATAACTGCCAAAGAACTTCGTGTATCCCATGAGTTTTGATATTCTCTCCTTGTTTGGTTTGATATCATAATAACATATTAATTAGATGAGTGTGAAATTGTTCCAAACAATTCTATCTTGTCAAAGGGTTTCTGGGGGAATCAGTACTATTTTTTCATCAAATGCTTGATATAATTCCCTGGCAAAACAATAATGACTTAAAGTTTTCTTTGTGGGGTTAAAACATGTATTACTAATCCATATATATATATATATATATATATATATATATATATATGGTTAAAACATAGATTACTAATCCATATATATATTATAAATTATACTTGTCCCTATACTTTTTATGTCAGTTTTGGAATGCTATTGTGATTTTCAAGAAAAAAATTTAAATTTCATGTGAGTTGTCAAATTTATTGGCAGGCAGTTTTTTTGTGTGTTTTCACAATTAACTAGTGGCAAAATGTAAGGCAAGCCAAGGCTTCTGCCCCATGTCCAGAGCTTAATGTACTGTGCTAACATATGATATAAATCATGATTTAATGAATTTGGAAAATATATTTTATTCTCTTGCAATGATTGGGAGGTTTTGCTATGGTATGTCAGTGAAAATGATTAAGACAATATTTTGGCTTGATATTATCTAATCATGGAGATAAGCTTATAGATAATGGGGTTCTTTTTAATACAAATGATAGGGATACCATAAATTGGATATTACATAATGGAAAATGATTAATTTCCTCTAGAAATAGAACTATTTTAGAGAGGCTTATACATAAGGCAGTATTTGTACTTAAATGAGATGTAGGATTTCCCCAGGTAGACAATAACCCTAAGTTCTGATAATTCACTGTGTAAAGAAAGAAAAAAAAAGGCATGTTGTACTCAAAGAAGGACAAATCTGTGTTGATGTGGGTGTGTTCAGAGTGCAATTTAAGATGTTGATGGGGTCAGATTTTGAAAGATCTAACTGTACTCACCTGATAGTGTATGGGAAAACCATGGTGTAAATTTAATGGAGACATAAACATACTTAAGACATACAGATTAGACAGAACTGAAAAAATTTCTCAAAAATGGATTTGGAAGCAGATCTCTAAGAATCACCTGGAGAAGTTAGTTAAAAATGCGAATTTCTGAATCTAATCCCAGCTCCACTTGTTGGAAGTGGCCCAAAATTATGTGTATTATATCCCTCAAGTGATTCTTGGCATAGGCTAAGATTTGAAAACAGTTCAAACAATTCTATTCTCTAGACCAGGTTTCCCAAACTTACAAACAAAACATCTTTTTTTTTTTTTCATATTACACAGCCACATAAAATTTTAATTTAACACAATGCTTCTACAGTTAGCATGAGTTTAAAAATCATGAATTATAAATTGGAGAAATTAGTGTTGCACAAACCATTTGAAAGTTGTAGCAGTGATTACTAAGTGTCCAGGGAAGTGCTGCGAGGGGTGGGGAAGGTGGTACAAACATGGTTTTTAAGGTAAAATTAGCAGAACATATAGAGGGCTGGAGAGAATGAAAGAGCAGGGGAATTCTAGGATTATTCCAGGTAAGAT